AATTGGACAGAAACTTGGAATCATACAAGTTGTATTGTATGATGAATGAGAATTTTCATCTTTGAAAAATTAAGACTAATTCTTTGATCACATGTATATGTGAGTCAATTGAAGGACTAAGGAATTAGGTACACTGGGTGTGCACTGGTCAAGGTCCACCACAAAGATTGATTTGTCATGATTTACTAAAGATTAGTAAATATGATTATACTTATAAGGTTAAGTATAATTCTGTAACATTGGAAAGGTTCCAATGTATGGCAGAGCGAATAAGAAGAATCAAATTAGGCAGAAGGATAAAAGTTTCTCAAATCTGAAAAGATGGGAGAGTACTTTAGTATCAGTTTTATGATCATCTTAATGATTTAGAAACCATATCACAAATTCATACTCTAAGGACGTCTTAGTGCATTGTTATGGCTAAGAAGAGAGGTCATGAATTGTTGGATTGGTTAAGATCAAGGAGATGAGTCATACTTCGTTCCAAAACAATTCTTAGAGTCATACTCCAAGATTGTAACATTGAGTGACATAAAGTAAGGTTTAAAACACTTATCAAATGTAGTGTGAAATGTTTCTACTCTTGTACATTTGAGATTGGTAAGTTGTGATGTCTTGGATGAGACAAAGACCAACTAAGACCAATTGTGTGAAGTGTTAGTCTTGATAAGAATCCGCACTATCCCTTGAATATTTGTTTTGTCAAGGAATGGTTCTTGACTAGGAAAACTTATATGTCAAGGGGACAGTGGGAGCCTTAAAGATCCTGAAAGAGTTTCAAGATTTAATCAAGAGTGAAACCTGTAATTTATCACTAGCACACGACTTAAGGTTTGCAACCTATCGTGTTGACATAATTCTTATTTCTGTACCTACTTCAAATAAGTTGGATTTGCATGTGAGTTATCAGAGTTCAACTTGGAAGCATTGGTGGGCCTTGTGCTACCAAGGTGACAAGAAAGTAAGATTGAACAAGTTTAATCCATGTAAGGCTGAATTTGTCACTAACCTTATCTTGTGATTATGGTTTTGACAAATTCGCATGGATAGGAACTCATACACTATAAAATCTAAGTGTCATAAGGTTTCTCTCCGATTCATGAAAATGATGGTGAGGAAACGCTTTCACTAAGTAGATTTTACGTAGATAGCAATTGTGTTATTTGCATTTTCAAAAGTCGTTAGTGGAGCGCGTGTGGTTAACCGGCACGCTAACATGGACTTGTGAGAAATGGCAAATGCCTAAGCAATTGAGACTATGATTACGGCATCCCTTTTCATAGTTCTGAAAATTGTTTAGACACACATGTGAGCTATCTAAGAAAGGATGTATGAATCTAAATTTCAGAAGTCCAGCAGATTTCTGAAAATATGTCAGAGCTAGTGGGAGCATAAGTGTTATGCTGATAATCATCATGTTAGTGGGAGCATGATTATTATGATTAGTATTGCAAGCTAGCAATGTTAATTATAGAAAACAAAGTTTCAATTCGTGAAGTTGCAGGGGTTGAAAAGTTGTTTTGCTATAATTAAGGGAGAGGAAATTATACTTCATTTCAATTCTAAAGCTTAGATTGAGATTTTAATCATCTTTAGTCAAGAATATATATGAATTTTATGTTGAATGGTTCAACTTAAGAAATTCTATATATATTGTGTTTTCAAAATTCGATTATGATTACGGCATCCCTCTTCATAGTTAAATTTTGAAAACATGGCAAATAAAAATATTGTAGCAAAAGACTGGTCTAGTATCATGTCTTTATGTCAAACATCATGAATCGTGTCCCATATGCTTCGGATATAGGATCGATTTCATGTGCTATAATATTCATCCTTTCTAAATTTTCCAAATGCTTAAGGCATTTAGAAGGGAAAAGTCTAGAACTGGATATGACTAAAGTGATTAAGCAATTGTCGAGGACAATCTGAGGTTTGCCAAAGATTGGTTGCTCAAGGACATTTGGAAGTATAGTGTTAATTTTGGCAGGACCATATTGACATTTTCTGAAAAGAGGTAACTCTTGTTCAGAAGTGATAGTCAAAATGGGACTATGGAAATGTCTCCATAGGTGGAAGTTATTCAATCTATGTAAGATTAGAAAACCTTAATGCAAGAAGGATGTTCAAAGCAATGTACTTTGAATATGAGACTTCCGTTCCATAAAGTTGACCTTCTTTGGAATACTCTGTAATGACTGTGACAAGGTTTTGGTGACTTTGTGAATAATCATTACAAGAGGAACATTGCATAAAAGTTTAAATCTAACAGTTTTTTGGTAAATGATAGGAATCGGGGATTCTCACATTTACAATAAGGATTTGGGATTGTGAAATGAGTATCATTGGAATCATGTTCAATTGATCTACATCACAATGTAAGGATCATAGACAAACATAGTGTGCATACTTGGGGTATGGCATAACTATTGTTTAGAAAAACAAAGTGTACATGCTAGGAGCATGGGACGACTGTTGTTTTTATTCAAGTCTTAAGTTGATTATTTGAAACATTGAATAATGTGTAATCAATATGGTGATAAATAAAAGTGGTTTTATTTATATTCAAAAGGGTTCTGAGACCATATTAGATTCGATTATTATTGTGTTTCACTTTGCATGTTTTGACTTCCAAAATAGCTAGGTTATTCTTTTCGAATGACTAAGTTATTTAAACACTCCACAGTCGTTCATATGTTGGAAGTAGGTATGAATCAAGACTGTCATGAATCGGGTTTGTAGATGGCTAAATGGGTTTAGTCATGGCAATGGTTGCTACAACATTCATGAGTGCTCATAAGTTATGAGTATTGGAATAAACCCACGCTCACTTGTATCACTTCATGGAATTTATCTCGAGTGATCGTGAGACGGTAATATCATATAAATCTTCAAACCTAGAGATATGAGTTGTTACCTATGAGTTGGTTGTGCATTGATTGCACGTAAACGCATCAGTAACTTGATGTTATAAAACGTGCCTTTGTGTACAATTCAACAAGTAGTAGAACAAGCATATGAGTCGAAGTTTATCTGTTCCTTCTAGAAATAGAAGCGATATCTGGGCCCCTCGATGATTTTGTTGTGACCTATGTACCGGCCGGTCAGAACTGAATTGATGTGTTCGATTAAGTTCTTTGTCAAACAAATCGAAAATCGGGAAACAAACTGCTGGACAATAAGTACGACGTTGTTCCATGTATTTGTCCGGCTGATATCATGAGAACAGAGGATTATATGATCCCTTATCTAATGGACAAGTCATTGACAAGGTCAGAGTTCATCTACAAGGTCAGAGTTCGACAGAAGCTTTTGAGAGCTACGATTGCCAGTTGGTTCCTGAAGTCATACGCAATAATAGTTTTAGACTTATCCAAGTGGGAGACTGTTGGATTAATGTCTAAGTCCATAACTATAATTGGTAAGACTTGACCCGACCCGGCATGGTCCATTTGGGTTGCATACCATCATGCACTTGGATAGACTATAATGAGAGAAATAAGACACTTATGGTTATTAATATATTATAAGTTCTAGTATATTAATAATAAGAATAATAAGATTATTTAATTAGTATTGATCAAGAATTAATCTAGGATTAATTAAGTGATCAAAAGAAGACTAATTAAATATATGGGTTGATTGTGTAAATCATCCATACTTATATAGTGGGCTAATGCTCCATGGATAATCAAGTTGGGCTAAAACCCATAGGATGGTCCATGGATGCTCCATGGTGTATTTGAACCCATGGATCCAAGGAAATGGAAAGCCATGACAATTAAGGATTTACCCTAATTGTAACACTATATAAAGATCTTATTCTTGACAAAAATCGGCCACTAGTGAGAGTAACAAAGGGCTAGCCGATTTCATGAAGTGTAGAACTCTCTCAAGTTATTCTAAGTGTTTTGATGATTGTGATTCCATTTGAGGCTTCCACACTATTGGGGCTAGGCACTCAAGCTTCATGAATACTTTCTACATCAAAGAGGTATGTATTCTATCTTGTTACACTCATTGTTTTGTATGCTAGATTAGGATAATACCTTGGATGTTCTTATTTGCATGTATAATAGAGAAAACATAGATCCAAGGTATTTAGGGTTGCATGCACACTTAGGAGTGTTAGAATGCTCAAAACCCAACACCAATAACAGAGTATGGACGGTGTTCCACATCTCATTAGCAGCAGAACAGGGGCGAGGCCCAAGTTAGGGAAAGAGTGAGTATGGGTTGGGCCCGTATCTCACTATCAGTAGGAGCGTGGACGGGGTTCCATGACTCATCAGTAGCAGGTCAAGGGCGAGGCCCAAGATAGGCGAGGCCTTAGGACATGATCCATTAGTATATGCTTACCTTATGTGTTGCGATATGTTTATGTGCTATTATATGTTAGCGGGCGAGGCCCAGTGACAAGCGAGGCCTAAGTGAAACAGATATGTATCCCAGCGGGGCTCGAAGGCAGGCGGGGCCTGGAGCGTCGGGGTCGTTGTAGCAGGCGAGGCCCGAAATAGCGGGCGTGACCCAGTATGTGCTGTATGTGTTTACGCAAAGTATGTGGTAGGTTGGGGAACTCACTAAGCTTCGTGCTTACGGTTTTCAGTTTTGGTTTCAGGTACTTCTGGTAGCGGAGGGAAGAGCTCGGGGTGGTCGCATGACACACACCATTGATTAGTCAGCCTGAAATGTTTTACTCTGATAATGAACATATGTTTTGGAAATGATACTCTGAATTCATGTTATGACGTATGATATGTTTTATGAGTATGGCTTTGGTAATGATTAAAAGAAAATTTTTGGTACGAATTTTTGGGACGTTACAAATTTAGTTATGACATTGGACCCCTATTTCCAACAGTTAGATCCTTCTAGTACGTTCTCGATTCGATCAATCAAAATCCATATCGATGAGATGACACATATCTTCCAATGGTAGTTTTGTGACTTGTTGGAATAGGTGGATTCCTGTAAAGATTAATGCCTTTATTTGGAGAGTTATGATGGATCGAATTCCAACACGGAGGAATTTAGATAAACGGGATGTGGAAATGAAGTCTCTATTATGTCCGATGTGTAGTGGTGATGTCAGAGATGTAAGTCATTTGTTCTTCAAATGTTCTCTCGCTCATCAGCTTTGGTCACAGATTGCGTGTTGTATGGTATTGCAGTTCCCTGTTTTTGATTGCTTATTGTCAGAGTGGATTGATATCCAACTTGTAGCTCATTTAAAGCATGCAACTTTGACTCGGTGTGTATGTCAATCCTTTGGGTTCTATGAACTTACCGAAATGCTTTGATTTTTCGCCAAAACAAGTATAAGAAATATTTTATTTTCAATAAAATTATAACGTTTTTTTAATTGGTTTTCTGCTAGATCACTAAAGCTAGGAAGAATTGAATTGGATGGTTAAAAATTCACATTCTTAACTAGTTTGTTCGTGTTGATGATTTCTAACTAGCTTTTGTTTTCATTTCATGATTAAAAAAAATGTGTAATTTACTCTTATACTTCACTAAAAAAAGTTTCTTTAGTTCGATCTAGATTAATGTAATTTTATTCCATTTTTTACCCTTGTAGATTTGTAGGCAACGTGAGTGGGTTTATCGGCGAATCTATCAAGCATCAACGCCACTCTCTCAGCCTCTCCACAAACCCTCGTCTTCCTTTCCCCTCTTTCTCTCTTCCCCCAATTCTTCAGTCAACAATGACATCCCTCTTCTCCACCTTCAAGTACTCCGACGGCCTAACGGTCGTCGGAATCTCTTTCTGCACCGCCGTCATCTGCGAAGCAATCTCATGGCTCTTGATCTACCGCACCGCATCTTATAAATCACTCAAATCCTCCATCGACAAAGCCTCCAAGAAACTCGAAACCATGAAAACCGATTCAACTGTCGCCGCCGCCCCCAAAAAGTCCAAAACCAAAAAAATAGATCGCGTAGAAACGTCGTTGAAGGAATCCAGCAGAGATTTGTCTCTCTTCAAGTTCAAATCTGGTGGCGTCGTTGCTCTGGTTCTGTTCGTTGTGTTTGGGTTTTTGAACAATCTGTTTGAGGGAAAGGCGGTTGCGAAGTTGCCGTTTGTTCCGGCTAGGATTGTCCAGAAGATGAGTCACAGAGGATTGCAGGGAGACGATCCGACGGATTGTTCGATGGCGTTTTTGTATTTCTTGTGTTCGATCAGTATCAGGACGAATCTACAGAAGTTTTTAGGGTTTGCACCTCCTCGTGGAGCTGCCGGCGCCGGTTTGTTTCAGATTCCGGATCCTGCCAAGACCAATTGATGATGACGACTGATGAGTGAGTTATAGATCTCTTCTTCTATTCTGTTTTTGTTTTAAATCTGTGAATTAGCTGAGCCATAATTGTGAAAATCGTGAAGCAATAATTAAGATGAATTCTATTGATTTACACTTGGATTCCACCGTTTAGAAAGCTTAAACGCTTGTTAATTCCATTATCAAGATTCACGATTTCTTTTGATCCGTGATTTTCATGATCTTCTTTCCCTTTATCGTTGAATTAGTCATTTATTCCTGTTGTGGTAAGATCTAGATCACAAACAAATTAAATCTTGATTATTCTTATTTTGAACAAGTTATATCAAGTAAACATATCCAATGATCATGTTGATTTGTTCTTGTTCATGCTTCGAACATACTCCATCTGATGATGAAGATTGATGTCATTTTCGCACTGGTTGATTAATTATAATTAGGAACTTCCAGATTCACATAATATTTTCGATTGATTTTTTATTATATTAACATACATGAAATCATGGTTAAAATTAACCAAAATGATGAACATGATCAAAATTTAAAGCACTTTATCACGTAACTTTAGAGCAAAAAGAACATATTTTAAACCTATTCTATCTTTTTATGAATTCGGCTCAACCCATAAACTAAAAAGTTTAGTTCAAACTTTTATTTTGTACTAATAAGATTTGAAAAAAAGAAAATTAAATATCAAAAAAGTTGAAATGAAAAGATACTTTTTTTTAGAGGAATTTCTATTTTGATACTTAAAAGTTTATTCTATAGGTACTTATATAGTTATATAGTAACATAAATGGTTGGAAAGTGAAACTTATAATTAGGGCTGTTCAACTCGATTGGGTAAACGTATTTCTTCATTCTATAATCTAATTTAGTATTTAGTTATTATACCCTGTTTCTTAATCATATAATTCGCATTTGATTCATTGAATATTAAATTCGTTTAGGTCTTTTAGAAATTTATATACACGTCTTTGTGGGAGCATTATTATAGTAGGCCATTGGTATTCTTTCCAATTAACCATTATGAAGGTCGGTTTATTTTATTGTTATTTTTTTTCTTTTGAGTTTCTAGAATCTATTTATGTGATGGGTCATGGACTTAATGGGGCTGTTTTCCATAACTATATTTAGCTCTTTTAAAATTACTAAATCACTCATTCAGTTGCAAAAAGCTCAAAACATGTATTAATTCGAACCCGACTAACCCAAAGTTTAATAGGGTCGGGTTTTGAGTAAATATTTCTTAAACAAAACCCGATTAATCCGATCCATAACCTTTGTTCTACCCATTGTTGCGAGTTTATTAACCAAGCTAACCACACCAAACTCATTTTTTATTTCAAGTTTTTTCGTTCTAAGCCTTTTAGTAGTAATTGGTAAAAAAAATTTTTAAAAACCTAACATAAAAAATTAAACCTCTCGTATTTAACAATTTTTTCATTTGCATAAACTTTTTTGTTTTTGCCAATAATAATATTGCTTATGATGTGCTTAACGGGGGAAGATGAATGTTTTGATTATATCTGTGTTTGTTATGTTGGAAACCAAAAGTTTTGTATCTTCTAACTTAGATGTAAGTCTGTAACTGTATAACGAATGGTTATGTATTTGCTAATTTGGAGATTGAAAGTTCTGTGTTGGTTAACCCGGATGAAATTGTATAGCAAATGGTTTTGCATTGTCTAATTTGGAGAATGTTCGACTTTTGCTAATTGAAGGTTCTATTTTTTCTTATTTGAAAATGGATAACAATGAAATGATAAAGGCGTTTGTTGACTATGTCATTCTAGTTGTGGGACAAAATCCAATAGCCAATTGTTGGTTTTGAGTAACCAACCCAACAAGAAGCTTAAATCTTCTACAACATAGTGGGGCGGGGTTGTGAGTGACGTAGGTGCGAAACAAAATACATCCATAAGCTTTTCGGCTCACTAGTAGGTGACGAATGTGTGGGATTTTCCTATTGGTTTGGGTCATTTCGGGGTAAGCAGATCGTTTATGATGATGAGGTTGAGCTTCAAGAGAATGATTCAGAGTTCTTATAAAGTGGAATCGTACAATACAAAACACGATATATATCTTCCGAACAACAAGACATTTTTCGAAGTACGTCTTAAATTGTTAAGTAATTGATTTTATGTTTTAAAAAGGTAACCAATGGTAGCCTACTATCTCGGATTGAATAGGCAAACACTTTTTCAAATTTTACACTTTTGGTCCAAATTTTAATATTTATTACAAATTTGGTCTGATTTAGTTTTTTTTTTTTTTTTTTACAAATTTATAATTGTTTATAAGATTTTTTTTCTTAATTTTTTTTACAGATATATTATCTACAAGTTCATTTGCTAATGTATATGAAGTAATGCAAAAGTTGAAAAAAAAAATTATAAACCACTATAAAAAATCTTTAAAAAAATTGTAAACAACAAACTAAATTTGGGAAGAGTTCATAACAAAATTTTAAATTCAGACTAAATTTATAATAAAATTTAAAATCTAAGTCAAAAAATATAAAATTTGAAAAAGATATAACCCATTAAATTATATTAAATTAAACCTGAGATAACAATAACCATACAGAAAATATAAGTTGGTTACCCTTTTAAAACATAAAATCGGTTACTTACAACTTTTAGACATTTTGAAAAATTAGTTTCCAAAAACAAGTTATAACACGTCTTAGATAATAGTCGGATATGATAAACAAGAACACTTTAACACGTTGCTATTTGAATAAATGGGCGAGGGCAGGATCATTTAGATCAAGATCTAACCATCCATTCATCCGCATGTAATCGATGTAATGATCTGGTGGTTTTATGGCTCGAGGTTTTGAAGGAACATACCCATGAATCCTCTCCAAATCTTTGGCAAGCCAACGAACATATGCAGAGTCTAATGGAGGCACAATCTTTATCACTACTTCTTCTCTTTTCTTTTCCTTTTCCTTTGCAGCTAGGTTTCCCATCTTCAATCCAATTTTATATCTGACAAAAACATTTTTTATCAGCAACTCATTCATGTCGAATCGGAAAACATGATTGATTTCCCTAATCTATTTGACAATTCAGTGTAGAATTGATAAAACTGTGCTCCAATTTTGATTTTTGGGACTAACCTAATAATAAAATGAAATTTTGGTCGCAGGAATTTAATCGAGATTAAATAGAAAAAAGATCTGCGATTCTGTGTTCGACCTAAAACTAAAACATAGGCAAATTTGTGAATTGTGAACTGTAAATCGGAAAACAACCGAAATTAACGTAACGTAGCATTCGAAGATGATATGAATTTGAGGAGATGAATGAAATTGATTAATCGGATAGAGAAAGTAGTTAACAGATAGATAGTTCAAGGGAAAGAAAATACCAGAGTTACAGACGATGATGATTGATGATTTGATGGGGGTGGAGAAACACAGGTGGCCTTTCCAAGGCTTCAACGGCGTGCTCTGTGTTGTTAGGGCTTTTTTTAAATAAAATAAAAATTGAAAAAAAAAATAAAAATTGTTCGAGCCTTCGAGGGTCTTATTTGAAAAAAAAAAAAAAATGGAAGCTTTTAAATTTATAAGCCTTTGTGAGTTTGTGACGACTATTTTTAATGATTATGATATCGACCTGGAGAGAGTGGCATGTAGGATTTTTTTGTTTTTTTTTTAATATCTTTCAAGCTTAGTATGTCTAACATAAATAATAATAATAATAATAATAATAATAATAATAAGTTATAAAAAAAATAGTGGTAGTATGCCAATTTAATAGGTTTGATTTTAAGGGGAAAAATTAAGAAGATAAATAAATACCAATCAATCACGATGCTCCTTTCCATTTTTTCTTTCATTTCTCACTAAAAAAGTGTTGCTACATTTGCGACACGCCATATTCACTACATGTTCACTACCATACTAGTATCCCTTAGAAATTGTTACCACTTCACATTACTTATTTTTATTATTATTTTTTTTTACATTAGATTAAGCATGACAAATTCACCAATCTGATGTGAAAAACGCGTTTTTACATGGGCATCTACACGAAACTGTGTACATGGATCAACCTTGGGGGTTTTGGACCCCTCCTATCCGTACCATGTCTGCCTATTTAAGAAATCTTTATACGATCATGTCTGCCTACTTAAACAAGCACCTCAGTCTTCGTACAAATGGTTCATTGATTATGTGTTCACCTTGGGATTCAAACATAGCAAATGTGATCATTCTGTGTATACTGTTAGAACTTCATTTGCCTCAAAATAGTCATATTCGTCCAGTGTGACAATGTCCGTGCGTTATACATATCCTGCAACCCCGTTCAACATCAAGAACAAAATACATAGAGCTTGACATCCATTTTGTTCGTGAAAAAGTTGCTCATGGTCAAATCCGTGTTTTTCACATTCCCTCATGCTATCAAGTTGCTAATATCTTCTCCAAAGGTCTACCTCCCGTACTATTAGATGACTTCAAAAGTAGTCTCAACGTTCATGCTCTTCCCGATTCGACTGTGGGGGTATATTAGCCGAGATTATCCTATCATCGTAACAGATTACCTTTCCTTGGATTCTGGGATACTAGTTAGTGAAGATATTTTTACATATCTTATACCGAAAATAGTACGATATACATCTTGTATATATACGTGTATTATTAATGAAACAAAGCACGTGTTTTACAAGTCTGTTAGCAAATGACAACATAATCAATTGAATTGCGTTTTGATATGTATTGATAAGAGATTTTCATCATTGTTATACAAATATAACGTTTTACTTCCAAAATCTTGAAGAACATTAAAGAGACAATTGCTTGTACCTTGTTTTGTGTTGCTTGAATCTTGATGTGTTTTGCATGGTACATGAAATTCAATGTGTTATTTGTTAGGAATAAGTGAAAACAAGTGTGTTCTTTCTCACGAATATGTGTTTTGAAGGATCATGTAGTCAATTAGGTTATATAAATTATTTCTGAGGATAATCCTACAATATAGCCATTTACGTTGTGTTTATCTTTGTGAAAATGAACAACTTCTACTTATTGTTTGCCTTTTTAGAAAACAAAAGACATAAAACAAATGTTTGTCTTGTAGAAGATATAAAAAATAATTTCTAAAGTTTGAAGACATTTCTAACCCTTAGCTTTTAAAGTTTATCATCTTTTCCAATTTGTGTTTCAATTGTTATTTTGTCCATTTATTTTTTTGTTTTGATTTTTTTTTTTCGGTTTGACTTTTTGTTTTCTTTTTTCAAATTAATTTTTTATGACTTTTTTTTGTTTTTGTTTTTTTTTTTTCAATTTGTTTTGTTTTGGATTTGAACATGGTTTTTATTGATTTTCGAAACATGATGTTTTTTAGGATGATAATGGTCGTAGTGGCCGATTAGTGGTGGTAATGACTTCGATACAATTACGAGTAGATGATGATTTCATTTAATTTATTTTATATACATAATAAAAAAAAATATTATTTTGCAGACTTTTGAAAAACAAACAAACAATACAATAAACTTCTGATCCACATACTCTTGACTTGGGAAAAAGATTGCATACATTTTATCTTTTCAAAACAAAACACCGACACAAGAAGAATAAGCAAGATACCACATTTGTATTTGGATGTTCAAGATTTTAGGAGTTCAAAAAAGTAGTGTATTATATGCCATGTTTCAAAAGTTGCTAGGCAGGTACTAGGTATAGGTGGGTAGGACGTAGCAAGTATGCGACATAGTCAGAGAGTACTCACATAAGATGAATTATAAAATTATTAATTATTGGAAAATTATATATATAAAGAATATCCTAAGTTCATAAATAAGTTATGACAAAAATATATGAATTATCAATAACACAAAACTATTTGGAATAGCTGAATAAGCAAATGCTATAATTATACAAGTATAACCAAATTCCAAAAACTCAAGCGAGGTTAACTGACTTTTACAACACTGATTATTAGGGATGAAAATTTCACACGACCCGGTGGGGAACCCGGTTAACCCGCCCCAATCAGGAACGGGTATTCCCAGCCAAAACGGGTACCGGGTACCGGTTCGGGGATCCCCATTATGCTAAAATAGGGGATGGGACCAGGGCCGGGTAGAACAATCCCCAACCCAATCCGCCCCCGCTTTTATGACTATATATATATATATATATATATATATATATATATATATATATATATATATATATATATATATATATATATATATATATATCATTTATTGAATTTGAATTAAGTTCATTAAAATGAATTAACCTATATTAAACCATCAGAGATTGAGCCCTATATCAAATTATGTTCCCAATTTCAAGAGTTCGTCAATCGTCACTTCGTTCGACGATCTGCATACCAAATCGTTACTTTTCGTTTTAATGTTTGTTAAACTTTATGATTGATGTAAACAAAATCTGATTTTGGTATCCGGTTTTGATCGCTTATTAAACTTGTTTTTTTTTTTTTTTGTAAGTTGAGTTTATTATGTTGATAGATTTAAGATGGGTTGGGGATGGACTGCGGATGTGCTAGGGAATAGCCCAAAATAATACAAAGGGGAAGAGATTTGATTCCCCGCATCCGTCGGGGATGGAGATGGGAATGGGGACGAGTTTAGACACTCGGGGATGGGGATAAGAATGGGTATCCCCGCCCCATTTCCATCCCTACTGATTATATATATGTGTATATATATAATCATACAGCTTCAGTCGGTTGCTTATTTATACGAGCATAATATTTTCTATTTCGCTTACTTTGCAAGAAATATAATTTATAACAAAATACCAAATACGATGATTCAAAAACCAATGAGTAGTTTCCACTTTCCATTCACCACACTTTTTTTGTTTACAAACAAACAAGTATATGTGCACCCATGTAGCCTTTTAACATTGAAAACCACACCGTTAATGTTTACAACACAATCAATCAACCTCACTGACTTAATTCAGACAACACCTTGATTCATTAGCTTCACGACTTGTTCAGACATCATCTTAAGCTCATTTGCAGCAGCAGAGGCTAATTCATTCGCGTATGCACTCTCTTCTCTCAGCCTTTTGTTTTCAATTTCTAATTGCTCTTTTGACTCTCTAATCTTGGCCACTTTCTCTTTGAGTTGTTCAATCTCAACTGCCTGATTGATTGATTAACCATGAAATTGGTAAATTATTTAAATATGTTTTTTTTTTTTTTTGTCATATGGAGACAAACCTGTGCTTTAATTGTTGTATTTTCTGAAAGAAGTTGTTTCAAGGCTGTGATTGTTTCTTCAAGTCCTTTACATTCAATGTTCTGAGGAAACACAATATTATTTAAATAAAAATATTAAAGTAATAATAATGTACAACTTGAGTTTTTACCTTTTCGTTTAGTTGCTCTTGGATTGCTTCACTATCTGTGAGTACTTCAACCTGATAGTAGAACAAACATCTTTCAATTTACTCAACTATTATATATAAATATAATATATTAATTAATATATATTTTCTGTTGGAGTATATTTTTAAATTTATTTTGATGAAGAAACTTCATACATGTTGCAAGGGCTCTGATGTAGATTCTGAAGGAGAAGAGTAAGAAAGCCTTCTGGATTCAACAATAGCAAGAGTATGAGTATTTGCTGGAGGTGTAGGAGTAGGATTGCTTGTTGTAGACATGCCTCCACTTGATTTATCACTACCACTGGTCAAAGTCAAACCATCTCGTTTCTGGTCAAACCAATAAAACATTTATCACTACTACCACTGATCTGAATTCAATAAAAAAAAAAAATTTAAACAGACCTGTGGCTTCTTGATCTTTTTGTCATCTTTTATGTGTGAGCCTTCATTAAGAGTAACATGCAGCTGGATGTTTTCATGATCCAAACTTAAGTTGCGCCCTCTTTTTGGAAGATATGCAAGCTGTCCATTTATCAGATTATTCAAGTTAGCCTAAATTACAGTTTTCGTCCCTATGGTTTGCTGAAAGTTACACATTTCATCCCCCGTATACAGAACTTTTAACGTTTTTCGTCCCTACAGTGAACTTTTTCAATGCTTTTCGTCCCTCCTGTTGACACTGTCGATATTAACCTTTAACCCCCCATGTAAAATGACTAATTTGCCCTTTCTCTTACATGTATTATTATAATTATTATTAAGTTTGTAGGATTATTAAATCAATTGATATGGACAGAGTCAACTACAGGGACAAAAAGTGTTACAAATCTTCATTTCAGGGACGAAAAACATCAAAAAAAAACTTTTTTAAGGGACAAAAACTTCAAATTTGAACAAATACACATTGTGCATCCTATGTAGCATCCATGAAGTTGTTTATCACCATGTTGATTAAATTACAGTTTTAGTCCCTATGGTTTGTTGAAAATTACAGAAATCATCCTCCTAAAAAACTTTTAACGCTTTCCGTTCTTTTGGGTTGACACTGTCTATATTAAACGTCCACCCAATGTAAAATGACTATTTTGCCCTTACTCTTAGATTTATAATTACTACATAGTACATATATTGCAATATTAACTTTATATCATTAATCAAGATACAGAACTTCATTTTAGAGACAAAAAAACATAAAGAAAGACAGGGACGAAATCGTAATTTTACCTCCTCTTCCATGAAGGAATATCTGCTCCCTGGATCAGTCTGATGTGGAGATTTGGTTGAGACAAGGATGAGTCTTGTGAGACTTTGTATTTGGCTTAACAAAGCATCTTTAGCTTCTCCTTCATGCTCCAACCGATGTAACTCCTCTTTTAAAGATCGAATTTGATTTTGATATGTCTTGATAAGGGATTTTTCATCATTGATCTGAAAATATAAAGTTTTACTTTCAAAACTCTTAATTACAGATTTAATTCTCAAGTGCATATAATTCAAATGCTCATAACCTTATTTTGTGCTGCTTGAATTTCAATGTGTTTTGCATGATGTGCAAATTTTAATGTGTTGTGTGTCTCTTCTGAATTGCTTGAAGAGGGAGTAACAGTGCAAATAAGCTGAAATAAAAATAAATAAATAAATAAATAAATAAAATATATATGGGAAATAAATAATAAATATGGAAGTTAAATAAAAGACTTACAGATACCCTTCCATGACCACTTAAAGAAGATTGAAGAAGTCTGGTTAATTTTGAGTCTCTGTATGGTATATGAGCAGCCCTCCCATCTGATAGTTTTGATATAACCTGTGACAATTTATTATTTATCATGAATATTTTTTCCGTTCTTACCCTTGGAGATTATACTGATAAAGTAATGAGTTAATGAAAATGATTGAGGGATTACAGTTCCAAGAGTTAGGAGGCTTTTATTTATGTAGGCCCCTTCTTTTCTACGAATACCAGTAGTTTCAGCTTTAGAGCTCTCGGAGCCAGCTAGATCTATGAGGTTCTGTAAAACAAGGTAAAATGACGATAATACCCCTGGGGAAATAAATATGTCTAAAATGAGGTTCAGGGGCATACCAGTTGCGACAAGTTAACAGCTTCGCCTTCAATATTTTCACCACATGGGCTACTCTCGATTGTCTATACATAAAAAGTAAAATAGAAAAGATTAAAATAAGTTATGATATTTAATATTTTAAATACTTTTGGAAGCAAGAGGTGATGTTAAAACTTAAAACAGCAATAAAACAATGGAAGAAATCAAGAATAGATAATAGAATTTGGAATACACAGAGTATTATATTACCAGTGTAAATATTGTGTGACTTCTGCTGCTGTGCAGATTTAACTTTGTGGAAGCAACATGTCTTTGCTCTGAATTATCAAAAAAAAAAAAAAAAAAGAACAATGTATAAATTAAATTCCAATTAAAACAACTAAATAACCAAAAGTCTAATGAACTATTTGTTATTACCTTCTCCTGCTGCAATAATGGAAAGGGCATGGGCAGGAGATAATACAACTTCCTGTTTTACACCTTCAACAAAGGTTCCCTTCAAACAATAATCATGGCATAAATTATTTTGATTTAATATTTTTGACTTGTTATAAATTTATATAAAAGTTATACAACTTTACCTGATTGTCCTCTCTTATTCTTAGATGGTGTCCTGCTGGATTCAACAAATCATTAACAACCTGCAAGAAAAAAAAAAAAAAAACAAAGATAGTAACATTACAGACAAAAGGGACTCATCCATTCATACATTGACATGTGGCATGCTCTCCTAGGTCATGTATCTGTTTCTAGACTTATAAATTTAGTTAGACTCCAGGTTTTTGATGTGTTCATTATTGATGTTTGCTGAAATCTGGAATGTGAAATGTGAAATGTGAAATTTGTGTTCTTGTTTTTCTAGAAGGTTAAAATGGTAATTTTTCCCATTCAGAAGCTCACCTCATTGTATATTTCCAAATATGAGAGACGGAGGAGAAATTCACGAGATGGGGTCTGAAAACACATGAGGAAAATTAATGATTATTTCTCTTAAAACAATCAGATGTTTAGAAATGCATATTCATACCTCTTGAATGATACAAAAAGCATCCTTTATTGCCAATGGGATAATTCCAGGGGACCTCTGGTTTCCCTGTCTTGTGTGTATGATATGATCAAGGCAAAATAAATTCATTGGAATATAAAATTTCATTAAAATAAAAAAGTTAAATCATTGGAATACAAAAAGATACTTACATGCATAGTGTGAGTTTTCCCACTACTTGTCACACCATATGCAAAGATAGTTCCTGTTCTTATAATGGATCAAAAAATATATATAAGAAAGAGAGAGTTGATAGAAACTAATAAGACACTTGCAAGAATGAGTGAATGACTCTTGTCTACAGAGTCAAATAAATAAATGGAACCATATCCTTCCACATGTCTATTAACTTTTGGTAAAACTGCATACAATGACTTACCTTTATTATATAAGATCCCTTGTGCTACTTTAATTCTAGAACTCTTGAAGTTCAATTAAAGAAACTATTTTGTACATCAAAGATTCATTAGCCCTTTAAATTCCTATGATAAATATATTTGGATCCATTTCAAATTAAGTTGACCATTAAGGTTCATTAGCCCTTTAAGTTAATCATATCATGATGCCAATGCATATTTGTTCATTCTATTGCAATAAAACATGGTTTTCTTCAAAAGGAAAAAAATAATAATAACATACCATTAATGCCTTCCATAGCACCACTGACAACATGTTGGGCTGCATTATCGTATACATGACGCGTAGTGATTGTAGGCCCAAAAACTTGATCTAGAAATATATTTAAAGAAAAGAAATGAGATTTCAAATGCCAATAAAGAAATAGAACCTACAATACTTGTGATAACTTCAATTATACAATATGCAAAACCAAGCTAAGCTTCTACCAGTTGATGGTGGAAACATTGATCAAAGCTGATAAACTAAAGTTTTTAACAAAGAAATCATTCTTAGATGTGTACTCCCTGGTTAATAATAACTTCTGCTATGTAGTACAAGTGTAATCACCTAGTTAAAAATTCTTTAAATATTGTCCACATATGTGATGATCATGACAGGAGTGGAGGTTATGTATGCAGGGATTACAGCTTTCTGATATTAGAAGTACAAATCTGAGAATGAGATGACAAATTGTGAAAGGGGAAGTTCCACAACAGCCACATGAAAGAATTGCTTATGTAGTAGTTTATGACATGGTCTTCAGTTTCATTACTCATTAGATGTTCAACCAGATCTCCCTACTCTACAGTTACTTATATCAAGAACACTAGCAGAATGTATGGCAGCATGGAGTTCAAGATCTGGATATGAAGTAGGGTTAAGTTGGTTATCATTGTAACCTACTTTTCTCAAATTCAAATTTCAATTCTAGGCATGACTCCATGATTGTAAACATTGCAACAATAAATTTCACCACAAGCATCAGAATATTGTATCATACCATATGCAAAAGCTATTGAGGGAGTATTCTCATTCCGCACAATTGTTTCTCCATTAGCATACCATGCAATCTCCTCCCCTTGTCGTATTTCCCTAGGACTACTCCACACAAAATCAATTAATTTGTATACAACTTAACCAAAAGTAAATACATATCTGGATTTACATAAAGACGCGCAAATTATTCCAAATTTGTTGACACAATTTGAGCACCTGAGAGGCCGGAATCGGATGGTGACTGAAACATTCTCTTTCAATCTCTCAGAATTCATTGTCGAACTCTTGGTGAAAAAGTATTCGTGCTTATTTCTAATTTTCTAGCTCGGATTATCAACTGAAGCTTCTAGAAATGTTTAGATGACAAAGCTGTAGAAGAAAGCGAATTGGCACATTTCAAGCTTGAATCGTCGGTTTGGATCCTCCATGGCTCGCCGCCATTGTTGAATTCACCACCAAATTTATTGTACAGTAGATCAAGCAAAACGAAAATGTAATCAGCTTACCGAAGATCTTTCTTTCAGTGCTTTCGAGAATCGAGATTTAATAACAAAATAAGGATTTCGGAGAAAGATTTGGGATGAACACAATAATGAGGTTGATTTACAGAGAGATGTGTTTGAGTGAGAGGGGTAAGTGTGGGGGTGACAACTTGCAAACAAGTGAGTTTTAGCAGAAGATTTTGTGCTTCCGTTGTAAGCAATTTACCCCCTTTTGGAAAGTAGACCAAAATTTTGAATAGTTGGATTATGAAATTATTAAGGGTAAATTACACAAATAGTCCATGTGGTTATACAATAATTTTAGATTGGGTCCCTGAAAGATTTTATTACTGATTTGATCCTAGGGTTTTAATTCGTTTTGAATCAAGTCCCAATCATTAACACTGTTTATTTTTTTTCATTAAATATGTTCAAATTACTATTTCACCCTTGATGTCTTATTCAGAAACCCATGTCCGCGCACCCACCCTTTTGAGATATCTTCTCGTCGATTTCTCAAACCCAACACATCGTCCATCACCACAACATCAGGCTTATGTCGCCAACTCTTCTTGCTACCCCCTCCAACCCCTAACCTAAGCACTCTTACCCTCAACCTCTCCAAGTAGTTCTCCTCCTTCTGCTCCCTCTCATTCTTCTCTACTAGTCGATTTCTTGAGGTAGAAGACGAACGTGTCGAAACCATGAAAGTTGCAGTGGTTTTTGTTAATCAGTTTATGATTTTTTTTTTGGTTTCTTGTTCATTGATTTCTAGGGTTGCGCAATAGATTTATGGATTTCTTGTTCATGAATTACATTTGGGTTTTTTTTTGTTAATCGAATGTAACGTCCTAAAAGCCAAGGCAAAAATTTTCAATTTTTCAAAGGGAGATAAAAGCCCTTTTTGTAAAGGTTTAACATCCATGGAAATAAAATCAGAGTATCACAACATAACATATGTAGCACTTGGTTCCTGGTACGTAAAAATTTATCTAAGTAATTGTCATTTTAACCTTGGACTCGGCGAGTTGTAGGTCCGGCTCGCCGAGTAGGGACGCGGTCCGGGGGCACGCTTAAGTTGGTGACTCGGCGAGTCCATATCCTGGACTCGGCGAGTCATCGCTGTTTGATGAAACCCTAATTCCAAGGGTTTGCCTCGTATTTAAGCTAGCTTGTGCGACCCAAGCTCGCCCCCTTTCACCCTCAGAGCGCCCTACATCAAACCCTAACTCGTTTCTTGTGAGATTGAAGGGATTAGAGTGATTCCTTGAAGTTTTTGGGAGAAGAAGGAGAGTGGAGCAAGAAGAGGAGAAGGAGACCAGATATCTTGGTGCTATTTCAGAGTTCTCTGAGGTATATCTCTACTCTATTCTATTTGCATGCTTAAAACCCCATTAGAGCACCTTTTGAGCTCTTCTTGAACCTTTTCCAAGCTTGTGCATGAAATAGAATTCGTAATAGGTTGAGTATCCACTAGAACTAGTCTTGTTTGAGCTCCAGAAGCTCAGATCTATAACCTTTATGGGAGTAAATTGCTGGAATGTCCTAGATCTACCCTCTTAGCCATTATTTCTCCCCTAATCCCCATTATATGCATTTCTACACGTAAAGTTGGAAACTTTACGTGTAAACCAGGCCCCAGGAACCCATATCTATGAATGGAATGAGCTGGATCCAAGCAAAATCGCGTGTATGGTTTTTGCATGTGGCCGACTCGGCGAGTCGTTCATCTGACTCGGCGAGTCGGGTCGCGTGTCCCAGGGTTGTTCCTTTTTGTGTCTGCAAGTTGGAGTAGTGAGTCATAGGGTATGACTCAGTGAGTTGGAAGCCAGACTCACTCATAGAGTAACCCGACGAGTCAATGCCATGACTCGGCGAGTTCAAGACAATCTTCTTAGATCAAGAACAGACTCGACGAGTTGTTCATACAACTCGGTGAGTCACAGCGTAGAGTGTTCTTCGGATGAAGGCGAACTCGGCGAGTTGTTCATACAACTCGGCGAGTAGGATGCAGGACTATTAAGACTTGGGTATAGAGAAAGGGACTCGGCGAGTCTAGTCAACTGGCCGTTGACTATGACTTAACTCATGACTTGTTAAGGGTAAATGGGCAATTTACCCTGAGGGCGGTTAGCAATATTTGACTAAGTGTTTGGTGGGAATTACAGCCGGAGGATTTCTGGAGCAGCAGCAGCAGCAGACAGACTATTCCCACACAGATCAGCAGCTACTACGAGGTGAGTTACCTTCCAGTAGCGGTGGGTCTAAGGCCACAATGCCGGCCCACCAGTAGGAGATGTATGATAGATGATTGTCTTTGTGATATCATCTAGGTTTGCTACTACCGGATATGTTATATGCTAGCATGATATGTTATATGTGATAGTAGTAGAGTTCGGTTGTTAGGACCGAAGGGTAGTCAGACACCCTAGATACGTTTGACAGTATGTGATTATATGTTTGCATGTTGGCTTGTTATGTTATATGCGATAGAGGTAGTAGGAGGGGACCAATCCCCGAGTTCGGTTGCTAGGACCGAAGGGTAGTTCAGGCACCCCAGATATGTCTGATAATATGTTATGTTATGATATATGTGATAGTAGCAGTAGGGGGTGAAATAGTCCCCGAGGTTCGGTCGTCAGGACCGAAGGGTAGTCAGCACCCCAGAATGGCTTGACATGGGTAGTCAGCACCCCAAAATGGCTTGACACGGGTAGGTCAGCGCCCCAGAATGGCCGTATCGGGTAGGTCGGGCACCCCATAAATGCCTGGCAAAATGTATGATATGTGATTGTATGGTATGCGGTATGATGGGGGAACTCACTAAGCTTCATGCTTACAGTTTTCAGTTTTGGTTTTAGGTACCTCTTCTTCGAAGGGGAAGGAGCTGGCGCGGTAGCGGCCCATCACACACATGTTTCGTATTCCGCATCATGAGATCTTCCTGGGGATTTGTACTCTGACATTATTATGTTTTATGAAATGTTTTCTAGAAATGTGATATCTTTATAAAATGTTATGATCAGTAAACGTTTTAATTCGAATGTTTTGCTAAGTATATGTTTTCAAAAATGAAATTTTTGGCTCGTATTTTTGGGGCGTTACAACATATTTCAAAATCATGAAATCTACTAGATAATGTGTACAGTCACGCATTTGCCTTCTCACGATCAGCTGAAGTACCTAAAATATTTAAATCCACAACTGTAAGCCAAAGCTTAGTGAGTCCCCTAAAATACCCCACATAATAGGATACATACAATGCATGTACACCATGGCCTTCAACACATCACCTCCTAAACCTACAACATTAAGTTGGACAGCTCCCTTTGGGCCTACAACATTAACTAGACCGCCCTCAACCCACCCATAATATGTCGACATATACAAATAAACAGACTTACCAAACAAATAGTCATAGATAATTATTAACAAATTTACCTGCCTAACAGATCACTACTAAATAAGAGGATCCGTATTGTAGTGTAAAGTATAATGAAAAAACTCACCTCACAAACGAAACCAAAATATTTGTAGCTCGTCACATGAAAATATTGTTGGATTAGATGTCTAAGTTCATAACTATTATTGGTATGTACTCGACCCGAGAGTAGCATTGTCCATTTTGGTTGCATGGCATCGGAACAATTGGATAGACAAGTGAGAAAAGGTTATTTATGATTTATATTAATATATTATAAGTTCTAATATATTAATATGAAATCATATTATTTAATTAGTATTGATCATAAATTAATTTTGTATTCAAAAGAGACTAATTAAATATATGGGGATTGATTATGTAAATCATTCATTCTTAAATATGTGGGCTTGTGATCCATTGTCCTTCATGTTGGGCTTAACCCATGTGGTAACCCATGGATACCCCGTGGAGGTTAAAACCCATGGATCATGAAGGAAATGGAAAGTCATGCACATTAGGGTTTACATGGTGTAACCCTAATGATCCACACTACATAAAGGATCCCATGGTTCATGAAATGGCACTAGTGGATACACATTGTGAGGGCAAGGGACGATTTCATAGGGAGAACCAAAGTAACCTTCTTCTCAAGTTATTCCATTTGTTGGTGGTGTTGTGTGATTCCATTTGAGGCTTCCACACTATTGGGGCTAAGCTCTTAAAGGTTCAAGACTTCAAGCTCCATCAAAAGGTATGTCATCTAACTAGACTTTTGTAGTATAGTTTCTCCATAATATGCTAGTTAGGATAATGCTTTGGAATTTTGTATTTTTGCATGTATAATAGTGAAAATATAGATCCAAGGCACATAGGGTTGCATGCACACCATAGGAGTGTTAGAATGCTCAAAACCCATCAGCGGTATCAGAGTCTAGGCTTGGTTTTCAATTATACTTGATGCAATTGCTGAAAATCGAAAAACTAGCTTTCTGAATAGTGGACTCGCTGAGTCCAAGGAAAAATCTAATCAACTCGCCGAGTTTGTTCATACACTCGACGAGTTGGAGGCCCAGAGCGCAGATTTTCGACTTTTAAGGCTAGAATTGGACTAGAATCATTATCCTAAGCTGTTTTTGAACTTATAAACCTGTTTTTGATGTGATAATGATCATTTTAATCCAATTCAAAAGATAATTGTCAAAATTTTCATGTTTTGTATTAGTTTAATGGTTAGGCTAATTACATGAAAATTGTTTGATTTGAATTGTCTTGTTCATATGAGTTTAATCTAGATCATAGTTTTTCCTGACATGTTTGTTTGTTTATTAGATGATCTTAATGGCCTTTAATGGATTCCACAACTTGTCCT